TCTAACTGTTTGAAAAAAATCTAACTTTTGTTCACATGATTCAGCGCGGTACAAGTTGTTCCAGTTTATATCAGCTAGCCACTTACCGAATGCTCTCCTGTCATAATTGCTACCTTGTCTAGTTTTCACTTTCGAGGTACCATATTTAGCTGTATTTTTATTAAAGCACCACAGTACGGAGTTATGTTCACTTTGGCCAACAGGGGGTAATAACACCGGAGAGTTACAACAGGAAGTCATATTTGTCAAAATTAAGTCCAATGTGGAATTTCCTCTTGTGGGTTCTTTAACTATCTGTTTCACAGTAAAATGACGTAGTAAGGAGGAAATTGGGCATTTATTAAAGTCTGCAATGAGAAAAATACCAGCGTTGGGGTACAATACAAGAGCAGCGTCAAGTTTAGATGTTAGGTGATCGATTAAGGCACAGTTATCATTATTAAGTTGTAACTGTTTAAATCCAGATAATACGTAAAAAGCCGCTTGACATGTAATGTGATAGGTGACACTTAACATAGATCGGAAAGTAAAAAAAAACAACTAAATATAACCTGATTTACTAATTGTTTGACCCTTTTGCTAATCAAACAAGCATATTTTATCATTGGATGGAGCCTTAAATTCATGAAATCGGACGGTTTGAAATATGTGATAATTTTAGACAATCCTGGCAAAAATTATTGTGGACACCGCGTGCGTCAAACAAAAATAGATGTATTTCTAGAGAATTAATCCCCAGAGAGTTTCTCCCACTCCTACCCCAAATTCAATGTTGGTAAATGAAACTTTTAAAATTTAAATGGGAGAAACAACATTGAATAGGGGGCAGGGGGCGAGAAATTTCATGAAAGAACGTCTCACTGTTAATATTGGCGTTAGGAAAGTTAGGTGTCCACATAATTTTTGCCAGGATTGTAGCTACGAGCGACTTAGAGAAGAACTGGGATGGCAAAAGCTCATGACTCGAAGGCTTTTTCACAAAATGTTGTTTATCTATAAAATTATTCATCATCAATTACCGTCATTTTTTATAGATCTTTTACCTTCATATACATATCAACGGACGCAATTTACATTGAGATCAAGCAACAATTTATCTCTATATTCTAGTCGTTCTCAAAGATTTTATAACTCTTTTCTGCCGTCATCTCTGCGTTTGTGGAGTACTCTTGACAATGATGTAAGGAACGCTGCTTTCTCGTCCTACAAGAGTGCACTCAAACGTATATATTTTGAAAATTTGACGCCATCCCATTATACATGTATTCATTAACAAGATACGCTTCAATTTTGCATACTCGTCTTAGACTTGGATTTTCCAGCTTAAATGGTTATTTATTTCAGATCAAATGTAAGCTATCGTGTGTGTATCGTGAGGAATCTGTGCTTCACTATTTTATTTTATGTCCACGATATGCTGCTCAGAGAACTGTGTTATTTACTTGTGCTGGGCAACTGTTGGGGAGCGTTTGGTCAAATAGTAGTGAGTATGGAAAGCTTAAACTTTGTTTACACGCCTCTGGAGAAGTAAGATTGCAGATAAATCGAAGATTTTTCGCCGCTGTTCCGAGAAGTATATAATCGATACGAATCGTTTCTCCATACCAAACGTTTGACCAAATGCTTTATTTTATTCTTATTTTTATTCTTATTTCTGTGTGTGTCCGCAAGTGAGAGTCCTACATAAGAAAAATGCTTTTGACTCAAACTTGCAATTTTGTTGTAAATATATTTTTTTTCCTTTTTTTGTTATTAAATTTATTTATATCAACGGAGATTACAGAAATTGGTCTATAATTTCCGCAGTCATTTCTATCACCGTCCTTGAAGACTGGTGTTACTTTTGCTAACTTCCAGTCGTCAGGGAATATAGCGGTCCGTAATGACAGGTTGAAAATATCAACCAATGGCCCGGCAATATTGTGTGTTCCGTCTTTTAACAGGCTGGCACTAATTCCATCCAGTCCTGAGGATTTCTTTGACTGAATGAGATTTAGCGCATCAATTACTTCATCAATAGTAATGAAGTTTAAAGCTAAATATGTCATCATGCGTAACAGCCATAAAGCTTAGCGGATCAATGTCACCGTCCTTAATTCCTTCGGACAATTTACTACCTATGGTTGAAAAATATTCATTAAAAGCAGCAGCAATTTTCTCGTCGTTTATTACGGTTTCGCCTTCAAAATTAATTTCCCTTGTTTGACTAGTCTTGGATTTTTTATTCAAAAGGTCATTAATAGATTGCCAACTTCCTTTTCGATTGTTAGAATTACTTAATTTGGACTTAAAGTAACTCTCTTTTGAAGTTCTAATCAGATTAGTTAGTTTGTTTTTACATTTTTTGTAGGCCGTTTCATAGTAGACAGATCGCAATCGGATGGCTTGCCTTTTTAAATAATCTCTGTGATAACTCAGTCGTCTAATTTCGCTAGTAATCCACGGTTTAAATTCACTTTTCACACGCCTTTGTTTAATTGGCCCATGCTTGTCCGCGATAGTAATTGATTTTTAAATCACTCCAAAGTTCATTCGGATCGTTTGAAGCATTCGGATACGAATTTAAATAAATTTCATTCAAATCATGATTGAACGCGTTCACATTGTATCTCTTGTATTGCGTAGATAGGACAATTTTAGGTAATTCTTTTGGGAGACTAATCTTGCGGCATATATATACGAGATTGTGATCACTGATCCCAAGCGGTATGACTCCTGTTTCTAATGTTTTATTATCCCCCATATAGGTAAAGATAACATCAATCAAACTCGATGTTATTGGGGTAACTCTCGTCGGTATTTTAATATGCTGCTGTAATTGATAAATATTCATTATTTCAACTAATTTGCATGTGACTTGGCTTTTTGGCATTTCTAAAAAGCTACAGTTGAGATCACCAGTTATGATAATTTCCATATTTTCGTCTTCAACTAGCTTTAGGAAATTTTCAAATTTATGAAATAAATCGTGGCTAGAGTTAGGTGGTCTATACCATGTTGCAATTAATAAAGTTTTACTTTTTGGCTTTTTCACCTCGATACAAAGCAGCTCAATTACGTCGGGAACTAAACCTTGCCTAATAATATAAGGTATATAATTTTACGAATAAACATTGCAACCCCGCCATCATTTCGATTCCGATCCAATCTAATAATATCATTGCCGGGTATCTCAACTCATAGTCACATACACTTTTATCTAGTCAAGTTTCATTGACAGTTAGAATGTCAAAGCATTTGTTTTGCATATATACTAAAAGTTTATGATAATATTTTACGAGACTGTCTATATTAATCTGGCCTATTTTAAAGCCTTTAAGTTTAGAAAAAGGAGAGCTTGCGCTGGATTGTGACGCTGCGCTATTAGTGCCATTTTCAATTTCTTCCGCATTGGTTGGAACATTAGTAATCATTAGTAATCATGAGGAACATGTCGTCCAAGCCCGAATATAGACCAGACTCAGGTATTCCAGGCGATGATCCGACTAGAGATCACAACAACTGAAAAGATGCCCTACCAGGACAAGATGGACAAGTCATTGAATCTAACTGGAACGAAGTATGTGAAAGTTTTGATGAAATGAGTTTGAAAGAAGGTTTTATTCGTACGGTTTTGGAAAACCATCAGCAATTCAGCAAAGAGCTATTATCCCATGTTGTCAAGGTCGAGATGTCATTGCACAAACCCAGTCCGGTACTGGAAAAACAGCCACTTTTCAATTGCAATTTTACAACAGCTGGATTTAGAACATAAAAACTTCAAGCGTTAGTATTGGCTCCAGCAAGAAAGCTTGCACAACAGATTCAAAAAGTGGTTATTGCCCTTGGTGATTATATGAGTGTGAAGTGTCATGCCTGTATCGGAGGAACAAGTGTTCAAGTTGGAATAAGCAAGTTAAAAGAAGGTCAACATATAATTGTTGGTACACCCAGTCGAGTTTATGATATGTTGAATAGGGGTACATTGAAACGTGATAACATCAGGTTTTTTGTCCTTGACGAAGCAGATGAAATGTTGTCAAGGGGATTTAAGGATCAAATCTTGGATATTTTTCAGTTGCTTAATAATGATATTCCGGTAATACTATTATCAGCAACAATGCCAACTGATGTTCTGGAAGTCACAAAACGTTTCATGAGAGATCCCATTCGAATTCTTGTAAAGAAAGAGGAACTTACCTTGGAAGGAATTAGGCAGTTTTATGTTCAAGTTGATAAGGAGGAATGGAAGTTTGAAACGTTATATGACTTGTATGAGACTTTAACTATTACGCAGGCAGTAATATTTCTCAATACACGAAGGTTGATTGGCTTACAGAGAAAATGCAAGACAGAGATTTTACTGTTTCCTCAATGCATGGTGATATGGATCAGAAAGAACGAGATATTATTATGAAAAATTCAGATCTGGATCCAGCAGAGTGCTCATCGCTACTGACTTACTTGCACGTGGTATTGACGTACAACAAGTTTCTTTAGTAATAAACTATGACCTCCCAGCCAAGCGTGAAAACTATATTCACAGAAATGGAAGAGGTGGACGATTTGGACGTAAAGGTGTGGCTATCAATTTCATCACTCAGGAAGATTCCCGTGTTTTAAAAATAATGAATATTTCTATAACACCGAGATAGAAGAAATGCCAATGAACGTCGCTGACTTGATGAAAGAGTTAATATGGGTGTGCAGAATAACTATAGAGACTGGTATGTAGATAGGGCGAAAACACACAATCTCTCAGTAACTCCGTGAGGATAAATTTTTAAATCGTTTGTATGAAGTAGCATCATTATAGTAGTGCTTGTTATCTCTACTTTATATAGAAATATTTTAACAACAAAATAAGTCTTATTTACTTTTATATTATAGCAGAGAAAGAATGTCAATTACGATTAGTTAATGTAAAAAATTTTAATATTAATAAATATGTGAGGTAGTGCTTAAAAAAAATCAATTGTGAATTACAATGTTTAAGATACTCGATGAAGTTTCCCGCTAATTTTGTAAAGCCTTGCTCATTCAGGTGTAGACCATACGGATTCGGATGATTTGCTTTAATATTCTTATCTGTTATGAATCCCCAATTGTTATTGTCATATACCTGTTTCAATCTGGCATTCAAATTTTCTATTTTGGGCATAAGGCTTGAATAGTCGAATCGCGTTATTATTTCTGAGATAACCACTTTTGTTTCCGGCGAGTTCTCCTCTATCCGTTTTCCATTGAAGATATCGATACTGCTATCTCTTTAGGAGTTGAATGTTTTAAATCATTAGTACCAACATGTAAAATTACGCTTTTAGGATTTTTCTCGACTGTCGGTTAAGCATAATGTTGCATATCGCCGACATTAGCACCAGGGAACGTTTTCACCATAACGTTACGTTTCAAGCTTTTCCGTAATTTAGAAGGATTAATTAACTTTATCATCGAATCACCAAGTATGGCGACATCAATTGGATTACGACGTTGGTTTGGTGGATTTTCAGACTGATTTGGAGAACCCGTTAGTTTGTCTGTAGCATTTTCTTTTAAGTTATTGAGGACATCAGAGCGGTTGCTAGTTTCAGGTTTGTCTTCAACATCAATCGCAATCGCATTACAACGTTGGTTACCCCTGATGAAGACACTAGACTGCAACTGGTATCAAAACGTTGGGTCTTGATTACAATTGAACTGGGCTTTGTAATAATTTATTTAATTTAACCAGAGTAGCGAGGGAAAGATGCTCTCAGTTAGTTCTATGAAACACATGTTAACTGTACAGATTCCATTTGAAATATCCATCTACAAAAACCCATGATCAGTCTGCTATTATTGCCTTACTAGAGCAAGCTGCTGATTGTCTCCTATATTTAATATTGGCTATTTGCAACATCCTGGAATCCATCATATATACATGTAGCCATGATATCATCAGTCAAACTTTGAACTTAGAACTGCATTCAAAGAATATTATCGAGCGTAAGAATATATCATTATATGCTAATGCAAATCGTATTTCCTGTTACAATACTGTATACCTTGTATATAGAGGGATAATAAATTATTTTGACTTAAAAATGTCTTTATTGATTTCTTAGGTTAATCAATCAGGTGCGTTACAGCAGCACGCCTTAAGTTGTGTTACGGCAGCACACTTTTAGGTGTGTTACTGTAGCACGCCCCAAGGTGTGTTACTGTAGCACATCTTAAGGCGTGTTACAGGAGCACACCTTAAAGGTGTGTTACAGCAGCACACCTTAAAGGTGTGTTACAGCAGCACACCTTAAAGGTGTGTTACAGCAACACACCTTAAGGTATGTTACAGCAACACACCAAGGCGTGCTAACAAACACACCTAGGTGTGCTAACAAACACACCTTTTCTCAAAACACACCTAAAGGTGTGTTGTTTTCTGAACAAGCGAATAACACACCTAAAGGTCTGCTACTGTGACACACCTTAAGGTGTGTTGTTTTCTGGACATAAAAGGAGTGTTGCTTTAGCACACCTTTTTTTAAGAGTGAGCGAAGAATGGTTACTTCTGACAACAAGAATGATCCTCCGAAGGAAGCGGAAAATTTCACACCGTGTATCTGTAATCCATTCCGGATATTGTTCTGTTTTGGATTGTTATACTGCTCATATTGCGTGAAAGTCCTCAGAACTAAAACAAAAGATCGATATATCATCGAACTGGTAAAACCCCAGTTCGACGGTCGATCTTTTCCTTTAGTTCTAAAGCTAGCATAGTTGTAATGGTACCGTCTAAGCCACTTGGAAGGTTTGCCGTGCGCGACATGAAACAAACTGTTACTGTTGGCAACAAAAAAGGTGTTGAAAAAGGCGACGACGGAAGTGCTGGTAAAGTAATCAAGGCTACACAGAAAGTTGGAAAAAATTATTTGACTATCTGGAACTTTGCACTTGAGATTTAATTGTTGAGAATAATTCCCGTTCGATGGAGGAACTGTTATTTCTTTTCTCAATTTGAACGAACCTTTGAGTGTAATGATGCCGCAATATTTGAATAAATAGTACATATTATTATATTATTATATGGCTTTGCTCTTATTATTACAACGCGTACGCCTTGTTTATATTCAATTATCCCCTGCTAACATTACTACTGAAGTAAAGTGAGTTGAAATGCACCATCAATTCTTGGCTGAAACACTTCTTGGAGACAACGTTGGTTTCAATATTAAACATGTTTTTGTAAAAAGATGAAGCGAAAAATGGTTACTTGGGATAACAAGAATGATCCAGACCTGTAAAGGAACCGAAAAATTTCACAGCGCAGGTTATCACTATGAACCATCCAGATGTAACACATTCCCTATATAGTCCTGTTTTGGATTGTTACACTGCTCATATTGGGTGACAGTTCTCAGAACTAAAAGAAAAGATCGATCGTGGAACTGATAAAACGACGGAAGCAAACCCAAATGTTAAAGAAAGGTGATGCTGGAGTTGTTATAATGGTACCGTAGAAGCTTATGTGTGTCGAAACGTTCGTCGATTATCTACTTTTTGAAACGTCTGCCGTGCGTGACATGAAGCAAACTGTTGCTGTTGCAAGAAAAAAGGTGTGGAAAAGGGGAACGGAAGGGCTGGAAAAGTAATCAATACTGCGCTGAAAGCTACAATGAAATTGTAGCGGCCACGATAATAGGGCCAATTTGCGTTGGATTTTGCTGCAAACTACATATAGAAGACAAACAAGACACGCCAACGGACACAATTCGAGTCGTTTCAACTATGTTGTAATTTACGTAAACTATAAAGAAAAGATACAAAATACGCTTAACAATACATCTACAAGACATTTAGCTAATGAGAAAATACAATTACTTACATATCTAACACAACAATGACCTGTTTCGTATGGATTTAAACTGAGACTGTCAACAACACACTGACCTTTACAAAAACTCTAAAACCATTAATATCCCAGACTGCAAACGGTCTATTAATATCTAATTTATGCGGTTCTAATTCATGCAAATTTATGTATGCAGCTACATGGCTCCCCTGAAATTAGTACAATTTCATAAGTTCAACCCTACCACAATATCAAGGTTCTATATACAGTTTGTCCCAAATGAATGGCTCCTCGACGGGAATCTACCCTTGGTCTTCGCTTGCTACCAGAAGGACCAGTTTATGTGTCGGTCGTGGCAAGGTTTTCAAAGCCGTTGTTCGTTGTCCCTTGGCGTTCAGGGAAGAATCTCCAATACTTAGTTCCACTGTTCGTACATAGCTATCATCGTCTCGAAAAACCGTTGATACGCGACCTAGTTTCCAACTGTTGCGAGGAAGATTCGCATCTTTGATGATTACAACATCACCAATCATGATATTCCCCTTTGGTTTCCTCCACTTCTGTCATTGCTGGAGGCTGTGAAGAAATTCCTTTCGCCAACGAGACCAAAATTCATTAGCTAAATTCTGGACTCGGCGCCAACGTTTTCGAGAGTAAAGGTCAACTGATTGGAAGACACCTGGCGGTGGAAGAACAATTTTTGACATCATAGTAAGTAAGTGGTTGGGTGTCAATGGGCTTAACGAATCAGGATCATTCATGGAGTCAACGGTCAAAGGATGGCTATTTACGATAGCCTCAACTTCACAAAACAGAGTCCGTAATGATTCATCGTCAAGTTGCGCTCCAGTTGTGTCTAACATACCCGACAAGACGTTGCGCACGGTTCGAATTTGTCTTTCCCAACTGCCACACATGTGGCTAGCACTTGGGACATTCATCTTGAATACTATCCAGTCGCAATGGTGCTTGAGCATTTCTGAACTAATCTTCTCACGATCAAGTTCGGATATGGCGTCTTTAAGTTCTCCTTTCGCACAAACGAAGTTGGTTCCCTGATCGCTTCTCAATTGCCGTACTGGACCTCTTCGACAAACAAAGCGACGAAGAGCGTTAATGAATGAATCTGTGCTAAGACTGTGTGCAATTTCTAGATGTACAGCTCTTGACGCCAAACAGGTGAAAAGGACACCATATCTCTTTAATTCCTTTCTTTTTTCTTTAATGATCCAAGGACCAAAGTAGTCCACTGCTGCATACGTGAACGGAGGCGAGGGTTCCACTCGATCAATTGGCAGGTCTGCCATCTTCCGTCCTTGTGTAGTTCCTCGAAGCTTACGACATACTGTGCAACCTGCTATACACTTGGAAACAGCTGCTGTTCCTTTAATAATCCAGTAACCATTGGATCTGATTTCGTTAAGGGTTATACCTCTACCTTGATGCTTTACTCTCTCGTGGAAATCTCGGACAATCAAGTTGCTCACGTGATTGTTCTTAGGAAGTATGATGGGAAACTTATGATTCTCGCTTAGATTGGCTCTTTTTAAACGACCACCAACTCGAAGAATACCTTTATCGTCCACAAATGGATCAAGCTTATAAAGGGAACTTGTTTTATTAAGTTGAATGTTTTTTTTGGTACTCTTACTCGGATGTTGTTCCGTTT